CAGATCGCCATGGTAACTGATGCTGCACAGCCAGATCGCCATGGTAACTGATGACTGAAAGTGGTCCTTTATGACTTACACTTCGTCCAGAACTGCTCAGACAATTTACACAATGATTTTTAAACAAAGTGTCCATCATGAGGTCGGAGCATCAGAACCAGCTGCATGGTGCTGTGTCGGACCTCCACAGCAGCGAGACTAACGGCGTCACTGCTTCTGCTTTCAGGACAAGTCCACGTGAGCGTGCACCTGGCGGAGAACGCCTCCCTGCCATGTCGGAGTCCTGCGGCTGGAACGATCTCGGTGCTGAAGTGGAGCAGACCCGACCTGAACGGCGCCGGCTACGTCTTCTTCTACAGACACAACCGCCGCCTGGACAGCTACCAGCATCCGTCGTTCCGCGGCCGAGTGCAGCTGAGGGAGCCGGACATGGGGGACGGAGACGCTTCTCTGGTGCTGAGGAACGTCAGCGCTGGAGACGCTGGAACATACGAGTGCTACGTGTCTTTGAGGGACGAGCGCCGCAGCCGGAGAGCTCTGGAGACGAGTCAGTTCGTCACGCTCAGCGTCACAGGTGAGTCTGGTGAACTAACACTGGTCCAGAACCGCTCAGAGACCAACACAACATCAACTACATGACTAACCTTCATCCATAAAGTCACATACGTCAAAAACAAGAACATATACTGTCCAAAATGATGAAAACATGTCCAGAGAGGACGTATAACTGTCCCCAGAGGACTCGAATGAGTCCAGCGGGACATCAACCAGCACCACTCGGCCGGTCCGCGGGTCTGAGCTGCTTGAACTCAGGCTGTGTTCTGCTCTTCAGGTGAAACACATCGAGCTGCAGAGAAGCTGGAGTTCATCAGAGAGGAACCTGAGGGAGACACGCAGGATGCAGTAACCGTGGAAACCAGCACCCCTCTGGCTGTTGTTGTTGTTGTTGTTGTTGTTGTTTGTGTTTTAGGATTTGTGAGTCTGTTGACAGTAATGAGACATAAGCAGCAGAAAAATGTTAAAGACCCTCCCGAGGCAGAGGAGCAGTCCATGGTCGCTGAGACGTGAATGAATGGCCTTTACTGTCGTTATACAGGCTCGAAGGAGGCTGGAGAAATGTTCAGCAAACACTCTGTTTTACTGACACGTGTTCATTCATCAGCAGCAGCTCAGAGTCTGTATTTAATGTTCAAACTGTCACTTCATGAACTGTGTTCTAATTAAACGCCGTCACGCTAACGCTGCTGCTTCGACCTGAATCATTTGACACGTTTGTTTTCAGCGAGACTCGTACAAAGTGATTTAAACTCTGTATGAATGAAGGTTTCAGACTCGCAGCCGTTGGGTTCGTCTACGATCTGCCTCAGACTAGAGACTGGACAGAACATGACATGTTTGGATCAGAAAGCAGCTGCAAAATCTGAAGGAACCGATTTTTATTCTATGACTTTTCATCTGACTGATCGACTGACGGATCATCGACTTTTGAGTGGAGCTGAAGTAAATCAGAGTTTTTCTGAATAACTCAACAAATGTCAAAAAAAAAAATCCAAATGTGTCAAAAATATGTTAAAAAAAAGTTTTGAACCTGAAAAATAATGTCATGATTAGTAATTGTTTTTTCTTTCTTGTTTTCTTTTTCTTCAATTGCTTATTAGTTTTTCTTTATTTATATTTATTTAACATGAGGTTTTTCCCTTAAACTTAATACATTTTACTCATCCATACAATCAAGTAACAGATTTCTCTATCCTCCAGTCACTTGTGAGCGATTCTCCCTACTCCTGTTTCATTTGTGCTTATCCTTGATAATTTTACTGTTATTATAGTTGTTGTTTTGTTTTTATTTAGTCCTCTTGTGGCTACCCCTATTATCTTCCATTGTTTTACAAAAATAACAACTTGGTGTTTCTTGTTTTGATTGTTCAGTTTTTCACTTCACTCCGTTGTATGTTTTGTTAAATGTTTGCAAATTAAAAAAAAAAAAAATAATAAAAAAATTGATATGGTTCAAAAGTGGCCAAAACTTTTTTCAACTTGACTGAAAAAGTGACTCAACAATCTAAATTGTTCAAAGACGGTCCTGAAACGCTCACAGTTGCCCCAAAAATGTTTAGAAGTGACTCAGAAATTATGCAAATGATGTCCCTAAAATGTCTCTGAAAACTAAATCAAACATGATCCAGATTAGCAGCTGGACGCCGGCGGAGCTCCTGTGGAAAATGAAACGTTGGAGGTTTTCTTCACTTTCAGGTTGACGCTGAACATGAAGACGTATTTTCACTTTTGGTTCTGGACTTTTTTAAACAACTCAAACACTGTCTGAAGTGATTTTAAAATCTTTCAAAGTGACTTAAAAATGCTCTAAAATGACTCAACAACGGCACCGAATTACTCAGAACTGGCCCAAAGTTGCTCAGAAACGTGGACAGAATTCAAAACAGAACCTTGTCTGTGAGAGTTTAAATGAAAGACAAAAAAAAGTTAAAACAACTCAAAATTTGCCCCAAATGACTCAAAAATAACTTAAAAATGACACGTTTTTAAAACTCAAAATTCTTTTAACAAAACAAATTTTTAAAAATGGTTAAAAAAAAATTCATTATTGTCTAAAAATGACTCCAAAAACAGAAATAAAGAAATAAAGTTACGTTTTAAAAGGACTCCAAACCCAAACGTGAACCAAAACGAGTGAACTGCTCAGAATCTGCCTCAAACTGCTCAAAGACGTGTTGAGATGACTTAAACAGAACTCAAAAATCTCTTAAAATACTTTCAATATTTTCTGCATTTCTCAGAATTTGTCCAAAAAGACTCAAAGTTGTGAAATAATCCAGCTTTAGCCAGACGGTGGATCTGTTGTGTAAAATGGACTGAATGAGAAAGTCTGTGCAACTGGCTGCTGGACAGAACTCAGTCTGTCCGTGGGGGGAACAACACCTCCAGTATCATGTCTCCGAGCACGGGTTCCCCTCAGGGCTGCATCCTGAGCCCCCTGCTGGTCACCCTGATGACTCAAGACTGTCAGCCCAGGTACAACTTGGGCAGACGACACAACTGTCGTGGGCCTCAACCAGAACGACAGCGAGCTGGCCTACAGAGAGGAGGTGCGACACCTGGTGGACTGGTGTAGGGTGAACAACCTGCTCCTGAACGTTGACAAGACAAAAGAGGTCTTTGTGGACTTCAGGAGATCCCGACCCAGCCACACACCTCTCCTCATCAATGGCACAGCGGTGGAGGTTGTCAGCAGCACCGAGTTCCTGGGGGTGCACATCCCAGACAGCCTCAGCCGGTCACTCCACACCACCTCCCTGGTGAAGAAAGCCCAGCAGCGCCTCCCTCCCATCCTCTCCACCTTCTGCAGGGGGCCATGGATGGATGGATGGATAGATAGATAGATAGATAGAT